GAAAAAAAACTCACTACCATTACACATATAATTATGCCATACATTCTTCTTTCAAAATCATAAATGATGATAAATATAGCTTGTTTCATATAAAAAATATAAAATCTATGCAACAAATTGAGGTGTAGAGCTCAGATTCCATTATAATATGAAGTGTTGGGATCATTGTTTATGATCAGACAAAAATGTTAACAAAAAATATAAAATCTATGCAACAAATTGAGGTGTAGAGCTCAGATTCCATTATAATATGAAGTGTTGGGATCATTGTTTATGATCAGACAAAAATGTTAACAAAAAATATTATAATATTTCTCTAAAGGTGCTAATTTATTTATGTCAATAGCTTATGTTAAAATCAAAACAGCCCACAATGTTGACTACTTAACCCTCAGCACTACACAACTAAACATTCTCACATTGGACAAAAGGAACATAATGTTGACTATTTATCCTTCAGCACTACACAACTAAACATTCTTACATTAGACAAAAGGACCATAATGTTGATTACTTAACCTTCAGCACTATACAACTAAATATTCTTACATTAGACAAAAGGATTATAATGCTGATTACCTTCAGCACTATACAACAATATATTTTCCTACATTAGACAAAAGGACCATAATGTTGACTACTTAACCTTCAGCACTATACAACTAAATATTCTTACATTAGACAAAAGGACCATAATGTTGATTACTTAACCTTCAGCACTATACAACAAAATATTCTTACATTAGACAAAAGGACCATAATGCTGACTACTTAACTTTCAGCACTATACAACTAAACATTTTTACATTAGACAAAAGGACCATAATGTTGACTACTTAACCTTCAGCACTATACAACTAAACATTCTGACATTAGACAAAAGGACCATAATTCTTCTTACCTTCAGCACTATACAACTAAACATTCTTATAATAGACAAAAGGACCATAATGTTGACTACTTATCCTTCAGCACTACACAGCTAAACATTTTTACACTGGACAAAAGAACCAGAATACTGATTACTTAACCTTCAGCACCACACAATTAAACATTTTCATTTTGGATAAAAAACCATAATGCTAACTACTTAACCTCTTAAAATGTTCACATTTACACTTTGATTCTGTTGTTTGGGGTAAAAGTATACAGATTTAGTGCATTGACCACCACTGCTTTTTACCATTTTTGTTGTGGTTGTTGTATATAGTTGTTTTCAGCTAAGTTTAACACTACAATATTAATTTAGTTGGATAATTTTTTATATTTACTTCTTTTATCATACCATGCTTCACATATTTTTGCAAAAAAGAGTGTTTTAATTTTATAGGAGTTTCATATTGCCTTTTCAGCTTTTTGACACAATAAAATGTTAGTTATTATTTCCTGTAGTAACCTCCGGGGGTTATTTAAGTAATTCTAAGAACAAATGAGTGGATGCAGAGGAGAATACATTAAGACCGGTGGTAAAAGTTTCTAGAACAGCTAGTCCATTAGCTATACTGATAGCCAGGTTGATTTTCAGTTTCACTCTAGATACATAGTTCACTGTAATAAGAATTATTAGCATTCCACAAAACTAAATGTCATATTGAACAAAAGGACCATATTGCTGACTACTTAACCAGTAGCACCACACAATGAAATATTCTTACACTGAACAAAAATGTCATAATGATGATTGCTTAACCACTGGTAAGACACAACCAAACATTATCACACTGAACATAATCTACTTCAACTAACCATTAGCAACAAACAAGTAAACATTCTTAAAGAAAACATAAAACAGAAGCGGGGGGGGGGGGTTAGCTTTCCACTTTTCAAACTGTTCCAGTAAAAATGTACCAAAATTAGGAAAATTACTCTAAGGAAAAACAGAAGAAATCATAAAATTTAATTCAGAACCAAAGAGTTTCCAGAGCCCTAATGCGAGCCCTGGACACAGGCCATAATGGATGCCTGTGGCACACATTCCTTCACTTCACTTTGTCAAATAAACCTTGGGCCTCACACTTTTAATTTGCCTGCTACACTTCGAAGTAAAGCTGGCTACTAAATGGCTAGCAATGTGATATAACTAAACATTTTCACAGTGAACAAGAACACAATAATGCTGACTACTTAAAACATTAACCCTTTATCATCCATGGAAGGGTTTTTTTCCATTATCATAATTGGTGTAAATGTACGGGTTAAAATTATGTCTAACACCTGTAAATATGTGAGAGGAGATGATAAATAGTTAATGCAACAAAATTCAACATTCTCATAATCAACAACTCAATGACAAATACTATTCATTAGTGCTGTAGCATTACTGAATATTAACATAAGGAATCTGTAATAACTCAACTATTCTATAACCTTCTATATGCAGATTAAAATATAATGGTGACAACTTTGACCTCCATGGAATACTCTTACTCTGATTTCACATTAAAGTATGTAACCTTAAAAGACATTAAAATAATAGTAGGGCAAAAAATAAAGAATATTCATTTTTTGTTTCTGTTATTAACAATATTAATTTAGTTGGATAATTTTTTATATTTACTTCTTTTATCATACCATGCTTCACATATTTTTGCAAAAAAAGAGTGTTTTAATTTTATAGGAGTTTCATATTCCCTTTTCAGCTTTACACACAAGCAATGCATGTAATCTCACAAACATATATATTACCTTGCAAGTAAGTGACTACAAACTTGATGTTTTATTACATCTCAAACACTAAAACGATTGATGCCATCATATGCTACTCGTATTGTTAAAAAGTCCACTACTTATACACACATGACAATCCAATAAACATGCCAAGAAATTCTTCAGTTTGAATTGCAACATGTAGGTTCTCAAACAAGATAATTGAAAAGTGGAATGATTAAAGTTTTAACAAAAATCTAAATACAATTTAGAAATTGTAAAAGTAATCACATAACACCTGTGACTCTTGAGGCATAGATTATTGTTAATATATATATATATATATATATATGGTCTTTTTTGCAATTGCATGTGCTATCAATGCTTAAAACAGAAGAAAATCATGGCATCTCTTAATCTTGTAAATATATTCAAATTCATAAACATAAAAAATGCCCTTTAGATCAGCAAAATAAAATTTATAATACAATGCCACTATTGCTTGCTGAAATGTTCCCACTTTAATCAAGTAATGTATTCTTTTTTTGTTGTTGTTAATTCTAATGTAGCTCAGGTTCTTTTTAGTTAAAATGTGTGTTTGAAAGATAAGCCTAGTAAAACAGTGTTGGATCAAGAACAGTGTTAATTTTTTAAAACATACTTATGCTCTTGTTTTGAGGATTCTCACTTGAAGAAACACAATACACTGAGGTTAAAACACTAAGATATTTTAACTTCAAGAAATAAAACTCTGAATAATTTTGTTGCCTATTGTCTAATGATTCTCTGGTTAATTCCACAAAAGTGTAAAAAGGAATTTAATAATATTTAATTCCCTTTTACACTTTTGCCACTGTAAATACGTTTTAATGTCTTCAACTGCTAGAAGGTACCAATCTTTCTTAGCATTTTGAACAGTTTACAAACATCAATATGTATTAATATTACAAAGGATGGTCACATTAATTTTTGCTTTTTTCATATCGGAATATAACAGTATAAAAAAATCTGTCATGTCAATCTTTATGCATGTTTTACAGGTGCTAAAGATTTTTCAAGGACACCTTTTAATCAGTTCTGAGGCTTTTACACATCTGGCAAAAGGGAATAGCCTTTGTAGATTTTTTTATGATTTTTGTTACAAATAAAATATTTACTTAAATTCAAACCATGCAAACATACATTCAAATAGACATTAACAGTTGGAAATGTTCACCCGTAAATGACACAGGTCTTAATTATGTATCATTAAAAGCTATAAATCTTTGTATTATGATTACATAACTTTTCCACTGATTATGCTACTTCTACCTTTTCTATTCACTGACTAATATATAGGTGTGTGTGTGTACTGAAATGTGTGGGATATCCAAAACTATAAACGTTTCAACAAAAGTGTTGTAGTTGTTTTAGCACAAAACTAAAGAATGGGTTATCTGCACTCTCTCCACCCCAGGGAATTGAATCCTGGGTCCATAAATCTACTACTGTTTTGTTTGTTTGTTTTTGAATTTCGTGCAAAAGCTACAAGAGGGCTATCTGCACTAGCCATCCCTAATTTAGCAGTGTAAGACTAGAGGGAAGGCAGCTAGTCATAACCACCC